CAGATAACTATGGAACTATGTCTACATGCAGATAACTATGGAACTATGTCTACATGCAGATAACTATGGAACTATGTCTACATACAGATAACTATGGAACTATGCCTACATGCAGACAACTATGGAATTTTGTCTACATGCAGATAACTATGGAACTATGTCTACATGCAAGATAACTATGGAACTATGTCTACATACAGATAACTATGGGACTATGCCTACATGCAGACAACTATGGAATTTTGTCTACACGCAGATAACTATGGAACTATGTCTACATGTAGACATATAGTTCCATAGTTATCTGCATGTAGGCATAATTCCATAGTTATCTGCATGCAGACATAGTTCCATAGTAATCTGCATGTAGACATAGTGCCATAGTTATCTGCATGTAGACAAAATTCCAAGATAACTATGGAACTATATGTCTACATGCAGATAATTATGGAACTATGTCTACATGCAGATTACTATGGAACTATGTCTGCATGCAGATAACTATGGAATTATGCCTACATGCAGATAACTATGTCTACATGCAGATACCTATGGAACTATGCCTACATGCATACAACTATGGAATTTTGTCTACATGCAGATAACTATAGAACTATATGTCTACATGCAGATAATTATGGAACTATGTCTACATGCAGACAACTATGGAATTTTGTCTACATGCAGATAACTAAGGAACTATGTCTACATGCAGATAACTATAGAACTATATGTCTACATGCAGATAATTATGGAACTATGTCTACATGCAGATTACTATGGAACTATGTCTACATGCAGATTACTATGGAACTATGTCTACATGGAGATAACTATGGAATTATGTCTACATGCAGATAACTATAGAACTATATGTCTACATGCAGATAATTATGGAACTATGTCTACATGCAGATAACCATGGAACTATGTCTACATGCAGACAACTATGGAATTTTGTCTACACGCAGATAACTATGGAACTATGTCTATATACAGATAACTATGGAACTATGTCTATATACAGATAACTATGGAACTATGCCTACATGCATACAACTATGGAATTTTGTCTACATGCAGATAACTAAGGAACTATGTCTACATGCAGATAACTATGGGACTATATGTCTACATGCAGATAACTATGGCACTATGTCTACATGCAGATTACTATGGAACTATGTCTGCATGCAGATAACTATGGAATTATGCCTACATGCAGATAACTATGGATCTATGTCTACATACAGATAACTATTGAACTATGTCTACATACAGATAACTATTGAACTATGTCTACATGCAAGATAACTATGTAGACATAGTTCCATAGTTATCTTGCATGTAGTCATAGTTCCATAGTTATCTGTATATAGACATAGTTCCATAGTTATCTGCATGTAGACAAAATTCCAAGATAACTATGGAACTATATGTCTACATGCAGATAACTATGGAACTATGTCTACATGTAGATAATTGTAGAAACCTATATAAGTGCCATACACAATGACTGAGGTTATATATCAACAGTGTGCAGCACATTCTAATTAAATTCTGTAACTGTGCTGTGACTTATCTGTTCCATTGATCAAGTGACATAGGGCCGTGACTTACCAATTCCATTTATCATGTGACATAGTGCCGTGACTTACCTGTTCTATTGATCATGTGACATAGGGCTGTGACTTACCTGTTCTATTGATCATGTGAAATAGAGCCGGGACTTATCTGTTCCATCAATCAAGTGACATAGGGCCGTGACTTACCTGTTCTATTGATCAAGTGACATAGTGCCGTGACTTATCTGTTCCATCAATCAAGTGACATAGGGCTGTGACTTACCTGTTCTATTGATCAAGTGACATAGGGCCATGACTTACCTGTTCTATTGATCAAGTGACATAGTGGAGTGACTTACTTGTTCTGTTAATCATGTCACATAGTGGTGTGACTTACCTGTTCCATTAATCATGTAACATAGTGGTGTGACTTACCTGTTCCATTAGTCATGTCACATAGTGGTGTCACTTACCTGTTCCATTATTCATGTCACATAGTGATGTCACTTACCTGTTCTGTTGATCATGTCACATAGTGGTGTGAATTACCTGTTCCATTAATCATGTAAGATAATGGTGTGACTTACCTGTTCAGTTGGTCATGTCACAAAGTGGTGTGACTTTCCTGTTTAATTGATCATGTCACATAGGGGTGTGACTTACCTGTTCAGTAGATCATGCCACATAGTGGTGTGACTTATCTGTTCAGTTAATCATATCACAAAGTGGAGTGACTTACCTGTTCAGTTGATCCTGTCACAAAGTGGTGTGACTTACCTGTTCCATTAGTCATGTCACATAGTGGTGTGACTTACCTGTTCAGTTAATCATATCACAAAGTGGTGTGACTTACCTGTTCAGTTGATCATGTCACAAAGTGGTGTGACTTACCTGTTTAATTGATCATGTCACATAGTGGTGTGACTTACCTGTTCAGTTGATCATGCCACATAGTGGTGTGACTTATCTGTTCCGTTAATCATTTCACATAGTGGTGTGACTGACCTGATCCATTAATCATGTCACATAATAGTGTGACTTTCCTGTTCCATCAATCAGGTGACATAGGGCCGTGACTTACCTATTCTATTGATCAAGTGACATAGGGCCATGACTTACCTGTTCTATTGATCAAGTGACATAGGGGAATGACTTACCTGTTCCCTCGATCAAGTGACATAATGGTGTTACTTACCTGTTCTGTTAATTATGTAATTAGTCATGTCACATAGTGGTGTCACTTACCTGTTCAGTTAATCATGTCACATAGTGGTGTGACTTACCTGTTCTGTTAATCATGTCACATAGTGGTGTCACTTACCTGTTCCATTAGTCATGTCACATAATAGTGTGACTTACCTGTTCCATTAGTCATGTCACATAGTGGTGTCACTTACCTGTTC